GGTTCAATTCCATTATTGGTGGAGTTCAAAATGCTCTTTGATTGTAGGTAAACTATAAATCCCAGCAACAACAATTCCCAAATGACAAAATCAATTTTTTTGAGTGGAGAACATATTGGGCTGTTAGGTGTCTTGTGTGCAAATTTGGTGTCTATTCCCCCATTGGTTTTTGAGTTCTGATGGTTTCACAAACGAACATTACATTTTTATTTATATAGATATTATTATTATTATTATTATTATTATTATTATTATTATTATTATTATTATTATTATTTGCCTGTGTTGTGTGCCAATAAAGGCTGTGTGTGTGTGCATGGCATACAAATTCTGTTAAAATTCCTTACGATGCTCTTAAGAACTTTGAAAGTAGCTAAAAAACATTACTCATTAAAAGAGAGAGAGGATGAGAAAGTATCCCAATGCATTCTGCTTCTCTTGGAAAGCAACTCCCATGCATATTGTGGTACGTAACTGTGTCATTGTTATGCATTTCTTCCAGGCTCTGGTTTATTATTAGAGTTAATCTTTATGCAAAATTGACAAGGTTGCTTTCCAAGATAAAAGAGTGTTGCTTGCATGATATACCGTTGAATTAAATGATGATAATTACATTAAATTCTCAGTAATGGGGTTGCAATTAATATTTCCAGAGGCACAGCCAAAAATAGCCATGCTTTGTGCAGCGGAATTTCATTTAGCTTTATAATGTTTCGTACTAATAACTGCACATTACCATCCAATGAAGGCACTAATCTTGTATGCTCCGCCGTATGTAATTGATTCCTGAGTAAAATCCCACATCCTGCATTTTTAAAAGTATGAAGAGACAATGTTTAGAGTTCACTTTCTGGTGGCATTGACAACAGAGGAGAGGGAAGAGAGGCCTAGGTAAGGTCTTGTTGCACAAAGCGTGTTTTAGCCAAGTTCCATCCAAAAGACACACAAACAGGAGGAAAAAGGAATAGAAAAACTTTTATCAACAAAGGCATAAACTTGCAATGTTGCATACAAAATCAAACAGTGCAACAAACTTACATAGTCCTTGTAAGAAACACAGAATAAGTCTTCTTCATCTTCATTCAAATGAGAGAGTGTAGTGATTCATACCTTTGGTAGGCCGCAGCCTAGAAGTCAGTGAGCCGGCCTCCATGTTGGTAAGGCAGCTCAGGGGAGCAGACATCTTAGGAGAGGCAGCTAAGCAGAGGGGAGGAGCCCAGCTATCTCCTGATTGGTTAAGACCCGGTGGGAGGAGTTGGAGCAGAGAGTGTAAAAAGGCTGTCAGTTTTGACAGAGAGAAGGAGAAGGGTTTCTGACAGAGAAGAAGGAGGATTTCTGACAGGGAGAAGAGGGTAGATTTTCTTAGTGAGCTAAGAGTTTGCCTGATAGAGAATAGTTTAAGGCAGGTGCTTCTACAGAGTTTGGCTAGGAGAGTCAAAGAGAAGATCTGTGTTCTTGTGTTAAGTTAGGACACAAGTTGTTATATTCTCTTAGGGACAGAGTAGTCTGAGGAAACTTAGATACTCTGGGAGACAGCCAAGAGAGGCTTGTTGAAGGGACTCACTGCTACAAGGTATAGAGTAGAGTGAGGGAAATAGCTCATGTTAAAGAAAGGAACCGCAGTTTAAAGAAACCATTTCTTAAGAAGATTGTGCTTCAGTAACAAAATACGCATGTGTACTAGGGCTGTCCAAACACGGAAAAATTTGTTTCTAAACTCGATTCGTTTTTAGGGGTTTTTTGCGTTTTGTTATTTAAAAGAATTCCGAAATTTTCCTTAAAAAAAGTTCGATATTTACAAAATTTCGGAAATCATAAAACAATTACGAAACAATTACGAATCGATTACGAATCGATTCGTTAATGGCGGCCGCGATCGCGCAATACGCTAAAAAAACTTCTGAAGCTTCCCTCTCCCTCTGTTGTTGACTGTTGGTGTGATAATTATATTTTTTTTCACTGAGAAAACAAACAGCAACCCTAAAACTTGCACCAGACATGCGGAAATAATAACGAAACATTTACGAATCAATAACTAATCAATAACTAATCAATAACGAATCAATTCTGAAACGAATGGAAAAATTCGTTTCGTTTTTTAGTTGCTCCTGAATGGTTCAATATCGCTTCGTTATAAAAAAAATAACGAATTTTTAACGAATTACGAAATTACGAAACAAAACCGCCCAGCCCTAATGTGTACCTCATAGAAGTCAGTTGTATGTTTCCAAGACCTTAATAAACTTATTCTCTAGTTCACTGTTTAAATTGCCTCAGCCTTGATTCATTATATAAGATAAGTTCCAGTAATTCTCAACATCTTTACAATTTAGTCACTTGAAGGGAGTCATATAAATAAGGAGCTGGTGTATAAGAAGATTTACCTCAAGTATAACAACAAGACAATTTCTCAAGTTTGAGTGGTGGCAGCAACCTACCATTACACACTCACATTTCCACAACACACAACGAAGTGCTTTGTGACAGGAATGTGTTAGTGTTCAGCCAGAACCTAAATAAGTAAAATCCTGTACCCTGATCTTTCAAAGTGGTGGTCAGCTGTGAGATGTTTAACAGCTGAAGGAACATGTGTGGGTGTGTGTGTGTGGCTGAGGGGATCTGTTAGAGAGATATTAGTTCAGGATCCTCTTAAGCCTTTATAGTGACCTTGTGAGGGCATATTCATATCACATTGGTACCAGCGGTGTGTCTTCAGCCTTTTACAGAGAGCAAAACATAAACATTGAGTAAACACCTATTTCTCCATAGCAAGGAGCATACCTGTTAGAGCATGGCAGCATTACAGCATATTGCTTCTCCAAACTGTATTCTAAAATCCATACAGTTAAACCCCACCGGGTGTGGTCGAAACATGTTAGCTGACCTACATTACCAGCTGTACATAATAATTAACATCATAAGGTTTTTCTTTAACACACACTTGATCCTGCTACGACTTACTGTAACAGGTTTGCCACCTGTAATGTTGCACACTAGATCTTTAAGAACTAGATGAATTTTTGGACTCTGAATGGAGCAACTGAATGCGTTCCCTTCGATAATTGAAATGGGAGGACAGCAGAACTTGGTAACATTACTATAGGGCTACAGCTACTAGAACCTACTTACCTCTCCAAACGCATCTCCTCCTATGAACCAACTAGGACATTAAGATAATCCGGGGAGGCCCTGCTCTCAGTCCCGCCTGCATCACAGCATGCCTGGCAGGAACGAGAGACAGGGCCTTCTCAGTGGTGGCCCCTCAGCTGTGGAACGCCCTTCCTATAGATATCAGATCGGCCCCATCCCTATTGGCGTTTCGGAGGAAAGTGAAGACCTGGCTGTTCGAACAAGCATTCAATTAAGCAGTGTAATGAATATAGGAACACGGAATAACGGATGATGAGATTGGATTCTGATTTTACTGATGAGACGCTAATGATTGCTATATTGATGTTTAATTGTTGATGATGCTATTGTTTTAATTGTCCCATAATCGTTTTGTGATGTTTTGCATGTGCCCTATAGACCTTCTCAACCTCTGAGGATGCTTGCCATAGATGCAGGCGAAACGTCAGGAGAAATGCCTCTAGAACATGGCTCTATAGCCCGAAAAAACCCACAAGAACCTAGTCCCATAATCGTTTTATGATGTTTTGCATTGAATTTTGCTGTTGTTAACCGCTTTGAGTCGCCTGAGGGCTGAGAAAAGTGGTATATAAATGAAGTAAATAAATAAATAACCCCCCCCCCCCAGGCCACTAGCTGGGACATTCTGGCAGTTGTAGTCCCAAAAGTAATGTTACTAAAAGCTCCAACAAAAGCTTAACTGCATATTTGGCTGTGAGCTGAATGGCAGCATGTGTATTTTCTACCAGTAGTAGTAGTAGTAGTAATAATAATAATAATAATAATAATAATAATAATAATAATAGGCACATTGGGTGCAGTGCCTAAAGATCTTGGCCTGCACTTAAACAAAATTGGCGCTGACAAAATTACCATCTGTCAGCTGAAAAGTGCCACCTTACTGGGATCTGCACACATTATTTGCTGATACATCTCACAGTCCTAGACACTTGGGAAGTGTCCGATGTGTGATCCAATACAACAGCCAGCAGAGTGTCTGCTGTGGACTCATCTTGTTGTGTTTCTAATAATAATAATAATAATAAGAAGAAGAAGAAGAAGAAGAAGAAGTGGGCAGGGCCAAATAGAATAGAATTATAGAATCATAGAGTTGGAAGAGACCTCATGGGCCATCCAGTCCAACCCCCTGCCAAGAAGCAGGAAAATTGCATTCAAAGCCCCCCTGACAGATGACCATCCAGCCTCTGTTTAAAAGCTTCCAAAGAAGGAGCCTCCACCACACTCCAGAGCAGAGAGTTCCACTGCTGAACGGCTCTCACAGTCAGGAAGTTCTTCCTGATGTTCAGATGGAATCTCCTTTCTTGTAGTTTGAAGCCATTGTTTCACGTCCTAGGGCAGCAGAAAACAAGTTCGCTCCCTCCTCCCTATGACTTCATCTCATGTATTTATACATGATTATCATATCTCCTCTCAGCCTTCTCTTCTTCAGGCTAAACATGCTCAGCTCTTTAAGCCGCTCCTCATAGGGCTTGTTCTCCAGACCCTTGATCATTTTAGTCGCCCTCCTCTGGACACATTCCAGCTTGTCAATATCTCTCTTCAATTGCGGTGCCCAGAATTGAACACAATATTCCAGATAGGATTTTAAAACCCTGGGTGAGATGCATGAGTAGGGTAATGTATCTGATGGGAAGTTCGGATGGGACAAACAATGGGATTCAGTTAACTGAAGGATGAGATAAAGTGCATTGAAAGATATTATGTACTGATTTGGTTGGTAACAGACTTGTTTTTCAATCCCATGCATTGCATTGCACTGATTCTTTCTTTCTTTCTTTCTTTCTTTCTTTCTTTCTTTCTTTCTTTCTTTCTTTCTTTCTTTCTTTCTTTCCTTGTTTTGCTTCCCTTAGTTTTAGTCCACGTTTGCACTGCAAGCAGTGACGGCCGATATGGTTACTCCTTGTCAGGGCAACCAGAGAAGACAGCAAAGGGCTGGAGGTAAATAACATTTTTTATTCTTTCCCATCCTTTTTCTTTGCTGAATCAATATTTTATCCACTCTTAGATGCCAACCAGCTTTGTGACCTCAATACTTCTTTTCGGTCTCCCATTTTTCTTATGTGCTGGATAGTGAAAGAGGACAATTCCCCAGGTGACTTCCATGTCAACAAATGGCAAATCCACTCTGGCTTTTAATCTGAACCTTAACAGATTTATACATGGTTCTGGGCTCTATCCCTGCTTTAAACATTTAACTAAAAGCCAGAGTAGATTCACTATCTACTGACATTGTAACTACCATTCAACAATGCTTTTGGAGATGGAATTGAATTTTTAAAATGGCAATCAGGGCCCAAGCATCATTTTCAGAAGTTCAAAATAAGTTCACTACCTCTGAGGATGCTTGCCATAGATGCAGGCGAAACGTCAGGAGAGAATGCCTCTAGACCATGGCCATATAGCCCGAAAAAACCTACAACAACTCAGAATAAGTTATATAACATGATTTTTGCTCCTAGGTTATAAATGTCATTTCCTAATTGGTTCTATCATGAAAACATGGGAAAAGTTTATTAAACTGCGCAAACTTTGTTTTTCTCCGACATCCTACAGCACGTTTGCTAGAGTTTTTCAATGAATATCTCATAGAGTCGGATAAAAATCTAAATGTAATTATAATTCAGACATTAAACTATATTTATAAGCTGTATCGACTGTATCAATTCACCACAAACCTATAACACTTCCTAGTTCTGACACATGCATCTTCACAATCCTGTCTAATGCAAATTATCACCTACAACATGAAAGAATGTTTCTATTTTAACTCTAAAAAATATATTATTCAGACAATGAAGCAGTAAGTGATCTTGGTAAGAAGGGTCAACTTTAAGATAGGCAACTTTTATTGATCTCCATAGTTCCCTTCCATCCATTGCTTTTTATTTTTCTTTATAATCTGTGTGGCATAAAAATAAACAACATTGTGTTGTTTTTTTTCCAGGCTGAGTCTTTCAAGGCATGGACCAGCTTCACGCTATGGCAATGACCTTTTCTATATTGAAATGCATGTGGAATATCAAACCCAAGACAGACTCAGGTTTAAGGTGAGTAAAAGAAATACGGAAAACTAGCTAGACAGCAGACCTGCCAACTAGTTATGATGCCTGCGAAAAATCTCCAATATTAGAGGCAGTAGATCTCTGTAGACAGTTGCTGGGCAATGCAAGTGGGAAGATGCTTGGGCTCTTAAGATCGGCTTGAACGTTCTTATTGTCATGAATACTTTTTAAACATTAAAAAGGTTCTTTTATTCCATTTTTCAGCAAGACAGAGTATATCAGGCACTTTACAGAGAAAAAGGTAGACACACAGTCTGTGCTGTTGCACGCTGGGCCTGAAATAATGTCTGTTTACAGGACGTGCCTTCTGTATGCTCAACGGGATGCCGGGATGCCTCAGCTGAAGGGCCCCTTAGATTTCCCAACATAAAGTTCTATTGAGGCTCAAAATGTTTTATTTGGGCTTAAATCTTCAAACAAATGAATTAAATGCTTTATAACCTTGGAAAACCGGTAGCTTCCTCAATCTGCTAGCAAGGGCAGGCAACTGGTGGTAAACTGTTCTTTCTTCCTTAGGGAAATCTTCTGACCCCTCCTTGGGCAATCTTTCTTTACCTTGCTGGCGTGAGTCTCCTACTCCCGGCTCCAAGCTACTTTATGGATAGCCCGAGTGGTCCCTTACCAGACAATGGTTGTTGTAGATCTGCCAAGCCGAAAGGTGTCCTTTAGTTTTACTCCACAAAGGCTGTAGGAACTGTCCTGTTGCCCCAGCAAAGGCTGGCTGTATTCCCCCAGCAAAAGCTGTGGGACTATCCCTTTACTCCCCCAGCAGAGCTGTGAGAAGTGAAGCCTTTGTGCAGGTGGGATAGAGAAACCACACATCCTGCTGTTAGGCTTCAAACAGTGAGACTGAACAAAGGTCCTCCTTTGCCTCCAAAACTCTGGGAAAAGGGGTGGGTCTAAAGCAGTGGTTTTCAACCTGGGGTCCCAGGTTTTTGGCCTACAAGCTCCCAGAAATCACAGCCAGTTTACCAGCTGTTAAGATTTCTGGGAGTTGAAGGCCAAAAACATCTGGGGACCCCAGGTTGAGAACCACTGGTCTAAAGACTCTAACGATGATTGCTAGGTTGCTGGCCCTATGGCTGCAACCTGGGGAAGCTACCTGATTGCAAAATGCGTGGCTTAAATAAATTAATATAAACTAGCAGTGCAAGAAAAAGAGGTTAACATCTCCTGGCACTGCCGTGCCAGCACACAGACTCTATATAGCTACTTTTGTTACACAAACAAAGGGGATATTGCATTTTACCCTGCACTCACACACCATTCATTCATTCTTCATGCATACATTACCATCTCTTCTTCCTGCTTCTGGAGAATGTGGGCTAGATTGTGTTATCTGCAAACCTGCCATTCTGTAGAAGACCACATTTCTCCATTCCTTGGAGAAAGAGGTGGGTGACCAGACCCTACTGTCTGCCACACTTTTGGAACATAAGAAAGTCTTTTATATAGCAAATGTCTTGCTTCTCTTGTTCAAGAAGTCGTAAATGACTGACATAGAAGAAGAAGAAGAAGTTTATTTTTCTCCCCCCCCCCCTCCATCTCCCCGAAGGGACTTGGGGCAGCTTACATGGGGCCAAGCCCAAGCAACCTACAATTAAAAGCAAAGCAATAACAAATTACAATTTAAAAAGCAGAAAGCAGCATAACAATAATAGACAAGCATCCAGCAGCAAAAGACAGTTTTGAAAAGGGGGGGGGAGGAAGGTCAATAAACGAGCTGATTAAAGGATAATTGGTTCAATAGGGTGGATGGAAACGTATAATATCATAGGAAATAGCATGAAAACAGAGCAATTTAACGGGATCCGAATCAATTCAGTTGAACTTAACTTACAAAATCTGAATAATAATGTGATATAGGAATTCGGGTTGAATGATGATTCAAGTCACAATACTAGTTGTATGTCATAGGAGTTGTCAATTGAAAGCACAACGAAACATCCACGTATTTCATTCCTTGCAGAATGTGGCTAGGGAGGGTGCCAGCTTAATCTTCCTGGGGAGGGAGTTCCAGAGATGAAGGGCCACCACCGAGAATGCCCTTTCTCTCGTCCCCACCAGCCAGGCCTGAGATGGAGGTGGGAGTGAGAGAAGAGCATCCCCAGAAGATCTTAAGGACCGCGTGGGCTCATAGGGGAGGAGGCAGTCACGCAGATAGGCAGGTCCTGAACCGCTTAGAGCTTTATCTTGAATTGGGACTGGAAACTTATCAGCAGCCAGTGGAGCTGTTTAAACAGGAGTGTTGACCGCTCCCTGTAACTTGCTCTGGTTAACAATCTGGCTGCTGACCTTTGCACCAGTTGTAGTTTCCAAACCATCTTCAAGGGTAGCCCTACGTAGAGTGCATTATAGTAGTCCAATCTTGAGGTAACTAAGACATGGACCACCATATTGTTTTTCAAGCTAAAACATGATGACTCCACCAATTCTGGACAGACGTTGGCTTTTCTTTCTTAACTAGTTGCTTTTCCTTCTTAACATAAGGAACCATTGTGTTGACTTCCTTAACTTATAGAGTTGTTGTCTTTGACTCTGTAAACATGTTGTTTTCAACCACAGTTCAACAAGTCATCAATGTCAGCAGTTCTCATCAGCAACTTTTAATCACATGAATTCTTCACCTCCTTTTGCATTTTTCCAGGCTTCATTCTCAGAATAGTATTTTCAGTCTTGGCCAAACCCCAATAACACACCCTTCATACAATTTCATTCAATCCACACATCATATTTATCACACTATGAACATTTAGTTGGTAACTGTGATCTATAAGGTGTTGTACTAGGTGTAGACTACAACTCCCATCCCATTCACAGTTAACTGTATGAGATTGTGGGAATTGTAGGCCCATAAGATATGGAGAGCCATAGTTGACTGACCTTCAGGAAAGCTCTTGGCGTGATCCATCTGTGTTTATTTTTATGTCCTTATGATAAACTTACTGTTCATTTTTCACTTGTTTGCAAATAGATCTTTGATCCAAACAACATACGGTTTGAAGTTCCTCTCAAGATTGAATCCCCATCTGTCACTGCTGCCGACACTAACTATGACATTGAATTTGTCAATGATGAATCTACTCGATTTAAAATCATAAGAAAAGCCACGGGAACAGTGCTGTGAGTACACAATATATTACATTTGGCTGTTGGTGGATGTTTTTTTTCTAATATACAAAAAGAAGCAATGGAGCTGAGGCAAACACAATTTCTCATGCATTACTGTTTAGTTCAGCATGAAAGGAGAAGAAAAATGATTCTTTCTGTCCTCGGCAAAAGTTCTCATTTGTTACAGGAAATAGTACAAGGAAAAATGAT